TCATTGATAATTTTCACTTGAGTCTGAGTTGTTATTATTGATTTGAAATTTTATTATTGCTGAGGTTTTATGCTCCCTCACTTTTTTTTTTGAGGGAGTGGGAGGGAAGGTGGTGGTTCCTGGTTGCTCTATGGTGACTGGTTCAGTGTAGTAACAAGGTTTTCTGTGGCAGAGAATTCCTCCTTCAAATGTATGTCTGTGAGGTCTCTTGCCTGCTTCTAGATGGATTTTCTTACTTTACCTTTCAAGATCACATCAATCATTGAGTTGCATTGTGCTTCATGAAAGTGTTGGCACACGTTATTGCTTAAAACAATAATTGTAATTCAGATATGCTGGAATTCTTGTGAAATGTTTCAGGAGATTGTAGGCTGTCCCTCATTTGCTCTTTGTTTTTTTTTTCAGAGGTGCAAACATAACGGCAGTGCTTCCAAAATCTCACATTTCTGTCATGGTTTTAGGTTTTTCTCTTTTCTTCGTGAGCAGCTGAATGATATTTATTTTCTTCATTTTTTTTTCTGGTGTTGGAATCAGTTTGTATTCTCATTAATCATAAAGGTAGAGGATTTTCAGCCTTGAATTCCAGTGCCATTGATAAATACCATGGCAGCAAATGCCTTAAGCTAAAATAGAAATTTTCACTTTCTTATGTATTATTAAAGGTAATGGTGTTAGACTATGAAGAATTAGTTTATAGGTAATAATAAAGAATGACCAGTCTGTTCTTTCCTATGTTCAAGCCAGTGTCCATTATGTATGCTTTTCTGCGAATGGAAAAATGTCTCCTTTGCTCACACTACATTGGATATAGTTTCAGTAGGGATGGGACTTACCACTACTTCAAGTGTAAATAATGAAAACTAAGAGCTTATGTAATTTCTGCCATAAATACAAGAAAAAGCCTTGTGGGCCAGTAACTTTGTCTTAGGTTTTGAAGGGGAGAAATATTTAATAAAGCTTAAATGATAACATGTTTAGCTTTTACAAAATGGGACAGATTTTTAGTCAACCATATTTTTAGTCAGTTTGGTTTTGGTAAATGGTAACAACTTCATATGTTAGTTTGAGGCTACTAAATGGGCAACAATCTGGCCAATACAGTAAAACCTAACAATGAGCTGTTATAATGGACTTGAGTCTGTGGCATGTAACTAGGTATAGAGAAAGTATACTTGATATGCAGAGCACTATTTAGCTATAGCCATACAAATAAAATTCTAGGAAGAGAGGAAAATAAATATGTACTTATATTTGCAGTGAATAAAAGCAGTTATATAGCTAGTTTGTGCCTGGGGATAATTTTTTTAGTTTTCCCAGTGTGGGTTGTTTTGTTTGATTTGGCTGGTGGTTTTGGCATTCACATCAAGCCACTTACCTGATATGACCCACTGTAGAGAGTGAGTTATGAAGGATGTATATGAAGCGATAGCCCCAGAGGGTAAGATTGAGGAGGAAGTTTAAACTGGGATTTTGTTTGCTGTCTTTCGAGGTAATGGTACTGTTCAGCCTCTTGAAAGTATGAAGAGGCTCAGCTCTTGAGTATCTGCTCAGCTCCTTATGTCAGTGTACTACAAACATGTAATTCAACCTGGTAACAGCACTGGATACTTTGAATTAGCTGGAAAGTTAAAAATTGATTTTTCAGTGTTGTAGAAGTATAATCAGTTTGGTTGAGTTCATGTGAATGATTTCAGATTTTATTGTAATCCCATCTTTACTTCCCATGATTACCCAAGCAGTCTTGATTCCATGTATTCAAGTTGAAATGGAATAGATTTACGATTCTGATAAAGCATCAGACTTTCAATCCTGGACGTTTATGAACAGTTTTCTGAATTTGTGGATTTCCGCATTTGGTGTACCAGTTTGTGCCCAGTGTGTTTATATGAACATGTATGAAGTGGCTAAAATTGCACATTAGTAGTAAGCATCATTGTGAGACAGGATGAAGGATGGGAAAGGTAGCATTTTGCCCTTTGGTCCATTTCAAAATCCCTGTTTCTGTCTTGGTTTAGACAAAAAGCTAAGCTTTGATCTTAGGCTATTCATTCCTTACTTTTATTGTCTCCATACAGATTTTCTGTGTGAACAGTTCCGTTAGCTTCAGTGATTTTTGAGTTTCCTGGGAAGAATTTGGACTGACTTTATTTGTATTATATCACCCAACTAGAACTCTCCCAGTGGTATGGCTATATAAAACATAGCTCTGAGTGGGTGACAAAGTAACAGGTATTGTGTTCATTTAGGAAAAATAATTATTTTATCATCAAAAGAATTTCAGCATTTTCAGGATATTAGCAGAATAAAATATTTTGACACATCTTCAGAATGTTTCTACAGCACTAAATGTGACTTTGTCTCTTAACAAATAAAAAAAGAAAAAAACAAACCTAAAAGGACATGTCTTTTAATGCTGGCAGCTAGACATTATATATTAATTTTTAAATCAACCTTCTCATGGCATTTAGAAAGCAGCTATTTTGGTTGCTATGATTGAGGTCAGGAGCTCACTCATAGCACTTGTGGTGCATGAGTTTGTGTACACTCTTCTGAATTTTCACGGCAGACTTCCAGACACTTCTGCTGTCATGGGTAGCTGCATCAAGCACCTGTGTTTTGGATTTTGGGTATGTATCTAATGCCATTTCCTCATAGCCTCAGTTTTGATATAAAATTCCCCTCTGGGAATTAAGATCCATTCAGTATGCATAAGACTTTAATATGCAATATCGTACTACTTTTCTTGTTGACTTCTAAAATGCAAGAGCAGGTTCCAGATTCTAATGAAGAATCTCTTGCCTTCATGTTTTATTAAGGCTCTTGTGCTTTGATGCTTGAGGTGAATTCAGGTGAATAAAGGTGGCATGTTGAATAGTAAGTCATGTTGCCTTAGAAGCATCTGAATCATTGCCGTTTTCCCAATGATTTTTGTCTTGCTTTTCTTGCTGCTGTGTTTTGCCCGCTTGGGAATGTGTGACAGATTTGGATAACAAAAATTGCACTATTGTTTCCCAGTAAATGCACTGGTAAGCCATGAGATCCTATTGTTTGTAAAGCATATTTATAGTTATTTAATTGTAGAATTCTTTGTAAGACAGAACTGGCAAACAGGATTTTAGCTGAGAATTAGAAATCAGAGAATTTTGAACTCTTAAATAGAAATAAAGTGTCAGCTTTAAGTGGGGAAAAGTGGTTGGTTGAAACTACCATAGGCTTAGGACTAAACTAAAATGAAACAAAAGCTACCATACTTTGCCATGTACAGTCTTTAGATTTATCTTGTTTGATACCATTTTTCTCAAAATTCTTGGAAGTGCAGTCTCCCTTTGGCACACTTGTCTCCATACAGCCACTTCAGTTTGCAGCAGCTTCTTTCCTCCAGGAGGATGATTGTAGTTATTTGCTGGAAGTGCTTCTGTTCACTCTTACATTCTGGAGGAGTGAAGCTGCTTTCAGCAGCTGACAGTGGTTTCTGACCAGTGTAAATACTCGCTCCTCTGTCCTGAAGCAACTGAACAGCAGGCAAAACATTCCTGTTTAAGACTTTGTGACCAACACTCTTGAGACACCAGGTAAAAAGGATGTAATGCCACAGTTTAGAATACTCTAATGTGGATTTAATGTTTTGGATTATGCCTCAATTTTCTAAACTATACTTTTTAATTGCTCTCTTGAGTGTAAGCAACATCTTACAATATTGCAGAAACAAAAGCCAAAGGACATCTTTGAATCTTAATAATGCTAGTGGTATTATAGTTATTTCTGGAGTCTGAAGTCATTGCATGCACTTCAGAAGCCATTATATGTCTTACATGTGTGACTGAATGTGCTTTATATCTGGTTCAAGACTAAATTTTCTAAGTGCATTAATTTATTATATCATATCACCAAATTTTTGCTAAGTCAGGATGATGCTAGAGTTTAGATCTTGTGCTATAGGTCTTTTATCTTGTATTGGGTAAGTCTACATGGAAATTGGTATTCTTTAAAGTGTTTTTTTTTTGTTTATTTTTTTCTCCCCCCCGCCCCAAGCAACTGAATCACTGAAAACACAGGTTCATCTGTATAAATGTAGCATTGTGACAGTTACTCTACTGCACTTTAAAAATCATTTAATAGCTGAGTATCTCAGACTGTTATTGCCTATATATACTCAAGGCTTCCCTGTGAAGTAAGGAAACATTCCTCTCAGGTTCTTGTAAAAATGGTATTCAAAAAGGTCAAGTGGGCAAACGTTGCTTGGCTATATTGCAAGCCAGTTGGGAATTGAACTTTTGACCTGGATCCCTGTCCAAAGGAGCCAGTCATTTTTAAAAAATGCAGAGCAGTGTGAGCTGGTGATACTGAGGTATTCTGCCTGTGTATGAGGTTTTATGCTTCAGGGAGAACCAGAACTGGAGAGTTGTGACTTTCAAGTATAGTCTCTCAGAAGAATATCTCCTGACGGCCTTTGCACAGGCTGCGTGCCATTTAGGAAATGCTGTGTGTTGTTTCTAAGCAGTCTTCTGATTCTTGTTAGGAGCAACATCAAAGTGCTGCTTTGTTCAAGAAGAAATACTTCAGGTTCTAGTAGATTGGTAGCATCTATTTCAAAAGTATTGCAAGTTGAGGTGTTTTCCAAGAGAAGAAAATGGTCTGACAGATCACACTGTAGTGATCAGTGAATTACAGTATGACATTTTTTTGAAGTATGGTCCCTTAGGAACAGGTTTTCTTCAAAATTGTAAATTATATCTGCAATTTGAACACAGTATTTCTGTATGTATAAGGTTAAATTTGCTACAGTCACGATTGGTTTTGTAGTATATTATTGAAATGGATGCTTGCAAAGCAGTTTTTTTTTTCTTTTGCCCTTTCCTCCCTCAGATTGGTCTTTCAGTTGCTTTTGAGAAGTATAGTTGCTTAATTTCCCTTGTTTGCTGTGTAACCTACTGATGTTGCAAGTATCTGCTTAATTGTCTCTTTTGTGTTCCTACCCCTTATCCCCACAAAACACACAGGAAGGAGCTTTGGTACTGCAAAGGACCTAACAGAAGAAATAAGATCATTAACATCAGAGAAGGAGGGGCTGGAAGGACTTCTCAATGAACTGTTGGTTCTGAGTGCCAGAAATGTCCGAAAACTAGAGAGAATCAAAGATGATTACACCAGACTGAAACAAGAACTTGAAGAAGGAGAGACTGCCTTTGGTAAGTAGTTCACAAGCTCTTGCAGCTTTTGCTCAGTCATGAGATCCTAGATGTCTACAGGGTTTGATGAACCATCCTGAATTTCATGAAATGCACTGATCTTTCTGAGGTAAGTTTGGCCAGGACCTAGATAAGCATTATGCTGAATATGCTCTCAGCTGTTTCCCCTTGAGGTGAGAGAGTCTGAGCGGGAGAAGGGTATCCCAGCAACATACAGATTTTTGAAATCTCTTAGCCCTGTTCCCAAAAACTTTGTTTTTTAAGCCCATTTTTATAATAGTGATGATGATATTGTGCATGTATTTACATACGGAGAAACGTGGTCTTTTATGTGGAAGCAGTAGATGTGGCTGGCTGTGACAATAGCAATGCATTTAGGATATGTAACTAAATTTTTAGTGTATATATATATAAAACACTTGGTGATGAGTCTGAATATACAAGGTGCAAGGGATGGCTGGTTCAGAAGCCAAGAGTTCTCTTTGTAAATTTAGTTTGAGTTGGGGTTTAAACAGCTTGCCAAATGCTTCTCACATGTAACTGTAAGCAGGGTGCTTGGGTTGTAGTGTCATGGTGGAATTGGAGAAGTTCTCTGGAATTACTGTGAAAGCTACTGACAAATTAACAAACAGCACAGTTGTTCCTATACTTGACTTAGCCTCTTATCTGCTGTATCCTCTCCTGAAGTTAAGCAGATAAAGTGGCCTTGCTGCTTGATTAAATGAAAAGGCTGAATAACATTTAATTGACTACAAATGTACAGTTACTATAGTTACCTCTAAACAGCTAAGTATAAATCTGAGAGCTACTTTAAAGCTTTTGGGGTTTGAAATGTCTTTCCTTTTTCCAGATCTTATAAGGTGGTTGAAGAGAGGAAAGCACCTCTGTTTTAAAATTATATGAAGTTTCTTCATAGGCAGATGGATAAGCAGAGCTATCCTAGAAGCAAAGTTTTGTAGGCACTTGGATATGTCTTACAACAATGTTTTAAAAATGCATAGAAGAATATATATATGCACACATGCTACTAGAGAAGAGCTTGCTTTCTTAGAAACTAGATAAAAATTCTAAAAAAGATTCCCCAGATCAGTGCATTGTGATCCAAAGTTGCAAATGCACACCAGGCAATGCTTCCTCATTGCTTGGGCTTCCAAGTGAGTTGAAGAGGGTTCTGACCTTCTAATCCACTCCTTTGTTTCTAGGACAAACTTTTGATAATACGCATGTGCTTCTCATTTGTACTTTTCTGCAGCAGGTTTTTAAACAAAACCTCTGCAAGACTCTAGCTGATGTAACAGAATTAGTAGTGGTTCACAGATATTTTTTTTCTTTCCATTTTGCATATATGTAGCTGGAATGAGGTGTCTTCTTGGTCTGACCTCTGCTGTCCTAGAGTTTATGGCAGTAAATTGCAAAATACTGTGTTTACTACATGGATTATTCTTTTAATTTATTGTGATTCTGTAGGCGCAAGGAGAAACTTATCCTTGTGTAAAATAAAACTATCAAGCAGATACTAGTCAGAGACACAAATGAAAATCTGAGATCTTTCTTTTTCCTCATCTCTGCCCTCCTTGTGTGTTGTCTGCACCGTTTTCTCCTTTAACAAATGAAAACTCACGTAGGTTTGAGAACACTAGTATGAGTTTGGTAACAACACATTTAACTGAACGTAAGCCTTCTGGTACACTCTGGAAAACAGTATCTAGATTATATCTCAAAGACAGTATCCACCCTTATGAACCAGTTGTTATTTTGTAAAGTACTTTTATATTTGGAGAAAAAAGCATGAACAATTGGAATACGATTTTGTTACCATTCGTTTTGGCTGTTGTTTAAAAGAACTGTAGATAATTGTGTTGGCTTTGTCTGCACTGTGAAAGGTGAAATTTGAGTCAGGGTGGCCAAGCTGACTTAATGCACGTCCTCAGGCTTTGTGGTTCATTTACACAAGTAAAATCTGTGTTGCTGTTGAGAAAGGTTGTTTTTGCCTTTTACTTGTGTTTCTTCCCCATCCTGTATGCCAGCGCAGACCAGAAGCCTGCTACAGCCTGGGCATCAGTGCCCCCGTGAGACCCACTAGTGCCTGGTGGGAGGTCCAACATCAGCACAAGGGATGCAGCAGGGGCATGGGGCTTGTGATGCAGGGTGTGCTGACCCCTTGGTTTTGGGGATAGTGTGATTTTGGGAGAGTGTAGTCTGACAGAAAAATGATTTCTGTTCTTTGAGCTACTAGTGCAGCATGTGCTCAGCTGCTCTGTGCCATGGGTAAAATTAGAATGAGTGGTACCATTGCTTGGTGAAGCCTGTTCTTGGTTAGTTTGACTTCTCCTTCTTATAGTTAGAAGCCAGTGAGAGAAATCCGTTCTCCACCTAATTCTACTAGCTGAGGATGTTACTGTCCTCTGGCTTTTCTTTCTAGCTGCCTGCACAGATTTCATTAGGGAACCCTTCAGGCTATGTGAACTTAAACAGCAAAAACAATTTGGGCTAGGCTGGCTGATCTGCGTCCTGGTGTGCAGTAGGGATGTACCTGTGATTCCTCTTCACGACACAGCTGTGCTATGCTTTGGCTCAACACAATGAAATAGGTGTCTGTCTGTAACTAAACATAGGTTACTCAAAGTAATGCAAAGAAAGTGGTCTCTTGGTCTCCTCGTTTTGAAGGCAAATGAATGCTAGTTTAAGTAAGTCAGTTGGTTTAAATGTCTTTTGCTGTAGAAAGGAGATGCTTCATTTTTCTTTGGGAGCAGTAATCAGATCAACTGGAGCTGTTGTTTCCTCTCATTCTTGCTTTTGTATTATTTCCAGGGCATAATCTTCTACTTCTTCTGCATCGGGAGCCCTCCCTTTTTTTTAATAGAACCTTAAAACCTTCTGTGCAGGTATTGCTCCTACACATGGCTGTTTCTCATCTGGCACTTGAACTGTTATCTTTTGTGCCTGTGAACTTCTTGAAAACTTTTTTTTATATATATATATATATTTTTTTTACTGAAGGTAATACTGCTTTGTCTGGAAAACATTGAAATGCTGAAATATGTGTGTATGTTTGTCTTTCTCTTGTGTATAAATTGGTAACCTTTTTTTTTACTTCATTAATAATTGTTGATTTCTCACAGTAATGCAGGTACAAGGAAGCAGACGTCAAGGGAAGAGACTTAATCACACAATAATCAGAGCTGGAATTTTAAGTAGGACACATCATTAGCATGTTAATGAATTTTCTCACTCTATGCCAGCTGCCCAAGTATAAAAGATATTGCAGATGCAGTGCAAAAATCAGGCCTGGCTTACTGTGCTGAGGGCTGTCAGTACTACCTATAATGGAGATTTGACAAAAATCCTTTCATATTTTTAGAGGTACTCAAAAATGTTTTCCCTATTGGATAACAGAAGCATTGACAAGTAACACCATGTATGAGCATTTTAGGAAGAATAGTATTAATTTGCCCTTTAGACACTTTCTTCTGGGGACATCAGAACACTTGGTAGAAAGTGGTGAACTGTTACAGCCATTTTACAGATAGGAGAGCCAGAGACTCGGAGGTCATGCAGTTTTGCCTGGAATGGTGGTGAAACAGTTTCCCAGTTGATGCTGCAGCATCAGTCATGATTGAATTAATGACTTGCAATAAACAGATTTGAAATCAAGTGATACTCTGTGTGAGCTTTGCATTCTTCTATACTGCAGGTATTTCTATAGCTTAAGACATACAATGTTTATGGGAAAAATCACCGAAGGTCTGAGCTTTACTGTTGAGCAGACCCGCCTTACAAAATCGGAAGGTCCTGTTATGGCAAGAAAAAGAACTGCTTTGCAGCCCAAACCAACAAAATCCATGTTCCAGACAAGTGAAGCTTAATTACTTGCCTGTCTGCCAAAACTGCTGGATTCTGCTTATAAATTCTGGCTTGGATTGATTCACATTTGTAACCCAGGAAATGAAACCTACCCTCTTGGTTTCCTCATTACCAGTACTGACAGGCAAGTTTTCCTGCCTTATTTGGTGAATTCCTTTTCTGGCTGCACTCAGCTGTTTTCTGCCTCTACTTTACACTTTTGGGAACGCATTTCCTTGTAAATAATGTATCTGTGCACAGAACTGTGGTGGGGGGACAGTATTTTGCTATCTAATTGCTAGGCTGTGCTTGCCAAGTCATCTTAAGTAGGATTTCTATACTGAATTAATTTCTAGAGGAAATACAAAATAAAGGCTAACCCACACATCAAAATAGCTGTTTGACCCTTTTTTAAACCATAGTTTGGAGGTTGGTATTTCAGTCTGTACTGCTCAACTGTCATTTCACATAATTGAGGTTTATAACCTTAGAAACTGGTTGTGTAAGTTCTAAAGCTCTTACTAGCCTGCTTGTAGAGTGAAGCTTTCTGGAATTGAACAGATACATTTATTGAATAATGAATTAGATGGAGCAGAGGTTTTTTTTTTCTAGGATGCTGGAATTTTCTTTCACGCTCAGATTTTTTTTCTCCTGATCAATCGCACACTCTGTGAGCTTGCACAAAATACCTCATAGCTTTCTGTCCTCTAACAGAAGAGAAACCTATTTGAATCTATTTTTTAATTTGCCTTTTTTTTTTAAAAATAAAAGATGTTTTAACTTAGCTACTTATGAATAAAAATGTTAAGAATGTACTTCAAAAAATAGCAAAAGTTCTCATAGTCTTTTTACAGTCATTGTTTAAAAAGCTGTGTATTTGGCTCTTGTGGAGGATGTAATTAAGTAGTCTAAAGCTTAATATCAGGTGGACAGCAGAAATCACTAGTGGTGCTGCTTAAAGCAATATTGGCTTTGAATATGGGAATATTTGTGAAAGGTAGGCTCTGTACTGCATATGCAATTATATAGAATGTGACTTACCAAACTGTTAATGACTGTTTAATGCAAAGTGTTTTTATTCTCTTTCAAAAATACTTTATTCTGGCAGATTCAATGTTCAAAGTCTTATAATAGCATGTGCTTCCCACTGGGAACTC